TTATCCATATTTAAGACTGTCAGCTTAGTCCGGTTTGATTACATGAGCTATGAAGAATTCAAACATTGTTACTTCCCTGTATAGTATGTAAGAATAAAAAAAACAAGTTAATCAAATGATTTTTCTATATACTTCTTGTTTACAACAACTTATGACATGCGCTAACTGCGATGTGAGATTACATGGGACATATTCATGTATTTATTAACTAGCCCCAGACGTACCCCTTAAGCATTTACCAGACCGTAACATTTCAACATTTTAATATCACGTTAACATCACATGATACAACTGTTATTCATAAGCATGTTTTATAACTAGAGTAAGTTATCTAGAATGTTTGAATTATCTTACGAGTTATATGCACCCCGACACATTAAACATATATTATTCTAATTAACAGAGTAATTAAAAGTAATGTGTGTTTTACGATAATGGCGCTCTGTACATGATAGACCCAAGGGTACAGCTACATAGCTGTAGGAACAAATAATTACTTCGTCTGGGGACCAGGTGTTGGGTGAAAAATTGTATAGGCCAACTTGTTTAACCTAAAATCAGGAGTGACACAGGCAAATAACAATTGATAGCTGAAGACAACAACTCAAAAAGTAGCATTGGCGTAGCGAGGTCGGGGATCACCCGTTACTGCACTTAATGGTGTCATCCCCCCGTAAATAAATAAATTATATATATATATATATATATATATATATATATATATATATATATATATATATATATATATATATATATATGTATATATGTATATTCCAGATACTTTTGTAAGCATTTGTATACGCAAGTGTATATTATGTATTCACATATTTATTTTCTGGATGTATTTAATTTTTTACCTCCATCCTCCCGCCATACATGGATTAACACATAAGTGATTACGTTTCTCAACCAAACCGTTTACCTCAGCCATATTTTGCAAGGGTGGGTTAATTAAACCTCACCCACTCCCCCATCCTTTCCCCTACCCCGCTTTAAACTACGCTAATATAATACTAACGATTTTTATCTATAGCCAGTTATAAATACATATTGATGTAGCATGTTTTCTCTATCACGAGACTACTTTTCAGTAATTCATAATTTGTGAATTCGACAGTACCAATGCTGCCACTGAAAATGTGTGCTTTAAAACATTAAAACCCTCCTTTCCCCCAACCCGTAACCCACCCCCACCTCCACCCCACCCATCCGTGAAAGCAGCCTCCTCTTAGTTACATCCCCTACGTTCAAAATCGTTTCAAACTATATTATCTGCCCCTAATAGCCGTCACGTAACCCGGCTCTACGACTGAAAACATTTAACGTGAACCACAGCTCACCAGACCATGTGGGCGTGGGGGTGGGGGTGGTAGCGATATGCCTAGAGATGAAGAGAGGGGACTGCTAGGCGCGCTTACAGCTTGGTGTTTTCTATGATCTCCAAGAAGAGAATTATATATATAGATTAGCAGGTTTACGTCATGGTGTCACCCCCCGCCCCACTCCCCTCTCCAGGCTTGTTAGGATGTGTCAACTAAGCTCTTAAAAGACTATTTAACTCACTCTAATTAATCATTTTTCTGTATATATTTTGCTATTTTTTTTTGCCTTGGTGTCAACCCCTAATTGGTGTCACACGGTACTGCCCCCACTCCCCTCTCACCTCGCTACGCATCTGAAAAGGAGAGAAAACTCCAAACAATTGTAGTCTTGCAGAAAATTTTCTTTGAAATGTATAGACAGTGTTTCTTCCAGACTTTTTTCTCCGGGGGGGGGGGGGCACTTGAAATTTTCGGGGGGGGGGGGGGTCACTGTTAAAAGTATATATTTTCTTTATAAATTATAAAGCCCCACCGAAGAGATGCCAGGAAGAAACTCTGTGTATAGAAAAGCTATCAAAGCACATGAGGAAATCATTGATTAGTAACTGGGCCTCGTTGTTCATAATATAATAAAATTTAGTAATTACAAATGACGGAGGAAAAATTCCCAGTAATATTAATTTTAAGAACAAAGTTATCATTTTAAATGTATTAATACTATATATATATATATATATATATATATATATATATATATATATATATATATATATATATATATATATATATATATATATATATATATTATTTTTTGAATATGTATGAAGATATGCATATTTGAAATACTACTGTGTACGTGGAGTTTTTATTTTATTTTTCTCAATCGTTTCTCCCTCGGTATTAATTGTCACAATATGCAATAACCTAGGATTACAGCGTGGATCGGGCTTACATGAACGTCCGACTGTTAAACAGATTTACTTTCAAGCTTCCCCAACGAAATAAAATGTATATAAAAATATATACTTTTATCGGAAGCCGGCCGTTTTCACGAAAGACACGTACTCGAATGCCGGTTTCCAAAATTGACACTTGCCCGAAATGGACAAATCCACGAATAGATATTCGCCCATATGTCGAATAAGCTCAAGCGGGGCTAAAAGGGTACAGCTCTATATGGTAGACTATCTAAAGACAAAACAGACATTATTTCATGACAAGACGCAAATGCACATGCGAAAATGACAGTTGGATTTGACCAGAACGGAAAGGTCCCAACTTGTTGAGCTTCGTTAAAAAATGAAGTGTTCGTTTGATAGGTACAGGCTGCATGCTAGGGGCGACTATTCGGGCGTTCGATTTTTAATAGTGTTTACTGAAGTGATCCCTTACATTATAGAAGAAATGCTTACAGTTTTCTAAATATAGCAGAGGTTGTAAAATGTGTTTTGGTAAGCGTCACTGCTTTTAGTTAACATTATGTTTGCGTGTACATGTACAGCTGTTTATAGTGTAGGTAAGGGAAGATTGCAAAAAATACGGTAGATTGCAACTCGCGATACAGAGATGATTATTTATTAATTTTTAAATAATTAAATTTCTTAAAAATAGAATAGAACCTCGTAAAAAAAAAATAATTAAACACCATGTAAAAAGCAAGCACTGTATTTTTTTAGAAATCAAAAATAGCGGTCACCGGAAATTACTCAAGATTTGACAAAAACAGGTCTTATAGTTTTTTGTGAAATTTCATCAATATATATATAAAAAAGTACAAGTTATAAGCTTTTGAAGAAAACCGGAAATCGCTGAAAAAAATGAAACACAAATAAACATTTGATAACATACATGATAACATGTATGATATTTCGTCAACCTAGCTGTTACAGTACTCAAGTTACTGTCTTACAGAAATACAGACACAGGGACACCCAAGCACACAGACAAGATTGCAAAATTAAGTTTTTCACACTCAGGGAGGTCTAAAACGTCGAGATTTGTGAACATCTCGATAACTATTTTTCGTACGATTACAATAATTCCTTAATGCTCCGTATACGAGAAAGTAAAATTCAAGCATTCCTCACAATTGTTTAATCAGCTGCGCTTCTCTACTCGTAGATATCAACCCCCCCCCCCCTGTGCTACCTAGCATGCATAGGAGGGGTAGTAATTCTTGAGTTCCGTCTCAGTGCAGAAAAAAAATATCATAGTTTTCGTTGTTTAAAAAAAATGTGTGTGTGTGTGTGTGTGTGGGGGGGGGGGGGGGGTTAGGTTAAGAGATCAGGCGAATGCTAGGAAGTTTTTTTTCTTTTTAAGGAAGAGTGTATTGTTGGTTTCGGTGTATTACTACAACCATTAACAAGCAGAAAAATAACAAAAAAAATTGAAATCATTTGAGAAAGACTGATCGCTCTCCCACCCGCGTGTTGTGTGTTGTTGTCCAGTTTAGGTTTGGTACGTGTATATACATATGTTTAAAAATATGTACAGCCACCCCACTCTTTAGTTTACATATTTTCTACTACAAATATCTATAACACCATAATTTTGCGAAATACAATATTATTGAAGTTTTCTTTTTCAATTAAAACAACGATTTACAATAAGCATTAGCACTATTTGATTGGCAGAGCTACGATGCCACTAAACACCGTAATGCTTGAGGCCTACACCAAAATCCTACCATAAAATGAACATTTTTTTAATTGAAAAATACTTTTTACACAAGCTACAGTGTTGATTATTCTTAAAACACTAACCAAATACAAAATGCTACACGAATAGTAATGTGAAAGATAGGCACACGTTCGAATAACTTCTATGAATCATTACGTTACTTTACATATTCTACAAGGGGTGGGTGGGAGCAGGAGTCATAACACAAAGAGTTTATTGTGGATTATGATATTCCTTTTAATAGCTAAATAGAGTGGGACTGTAAAACTTATTTATATAGTTGAGTAAAGAATTTCTTACAATCATTTCAATATTCGAATGTGGTTTAATATATAATTTCAACTCGAAACTAATTTTATTACTTTAAGATGCCACTAAATACCTTATTTAATGTAATATATATATGATCCAATAACGCTCCATTAGTAAGCAGAAAAGAGGTTTTCTAAGAATTATTGGAACAATTAAAAAGAGGCTTATAACAAGCAGTAGCTAATCGGTTCTAATAAAAATATGTCCTGAGATTTTTTATTAGGAGGCCTAAAACACTGTTTCCAATAGTCGAGTACGTGTGTGGGGGTAGGAGGGGAGGGGGGGGGGGTAATAGCTCTTCTTGAACCAGTAAGAATGGTGCCCATATTGTACATTTGATAATTAAATTAAGGCCTGTATAACTCATGTTAATAGTCTAGAGGGCAAATCGTTGATTTTTTAAATATTTATTTTTACAAACAGTTTTATGTAGGTGACTTTACAGGTTTTCGCTTTAAAATATGAACATCTAACTTTATTATATGCGCTATGGATCAATATCTAAATGCTCGGTAGCAAACGAAATGCCAGAACAAAAACCAATAAAATACATGTATATCTAATATTGCATATACATTTAATAATGACTTAATTCTATGTGGCCCCTGAGGAGCAAAAGGCTGCACTCAAATTTCTCTATCGGGCTTGATTTTTTCAGCAGCCATCTTTAAACCCTTCCTCTTTTACTGTCCTCCAGGATTTTCTCGGCCGTCATATTTTCCTCTTCACCCCCAGGGGTTTCCATTGTAGTGCTTTGCTCGTGACATTGCCATCTCCCATTTTCAGGGTATGAGCTATCAATCCCCTTCTACGGGCTACTGTTTGGTGTGTTGCCACAGATCTTTATTAAATATTTTGTCTGGCCATCTTATCTCAACATCTGTTTGTGATTGACAGCAGCCTATGTGTAATTGTTTTAGTAACCTTCCAGGTATCCTAACCTTAAAGCAACACTGTTTTAGCATTTGTGTTAACGATCTTATCTTGCTTCTTATTATTAGTAATCCCTTAAAAAATTATTTCCAAACAATGTGCTTTAACACTTTATTTACGGAATTATGTTCTGAATGAAATTTTTACTTAAACAATGTGTTACTATATTGCTTTTAGCACATTCAGAGCATATGTCGAAGGAATTTTCGTTTCATAAATTTTTAATTGCCCAAACATATATTGGTATTTATAAGTACTGTCAGGAATGTAGGACATCTTTTTTTTACCAAACCAGGAACTAACGATACAATTTATTAACTAATAACATGGCAATCATTATAACAATCACTTTTTGTAATTTTCACACATAAATACAGCAAAAAATTATATTTTGATTACGATTTTAACTGGATTTTCTATCGGAACACATCTTAGCGTCAAACGCAGCAAATGTTGCCGACATGACATGCTCCCTCAATCTTGTCTGTGGTCTTTCTGGTGTAGCAACGGTTGCCGAAATGAATATGCTTTTGCTGGAAGCTTCCAATAGCTAGTTCAATGAGCCGCATTACCAAACAAAAGCCTAGTCATTCAGCACGCAACTACTAGTAATACTAGTATAATTGTAGTCTACTAGAATGTTATGACAAGTCTACACTACAGTGCAAAATTCATAAATAGAAGTGAGCTCAATGTGTTTAGGATAGCCGTAGTGGCCTACTCTTTTCTGTTTACTGATTAAAATTTACCTTATAGATTTATACTATATGCAGAAGTATGGACTATCACTAGTCTACAGGTATACATTAAGTAAATGCTAGTTGTTGTAGGCAAGACAGTTTATTACAGTAAATATAACTAACAAATTAAATCTTACAACTAGAACTAGGCTTTGGTATACAAATGAAGTATACTAAACCTTGTAAACGAGCCTGCAACTGATACCTTTGTTCTTGTTATTTTTTTACTACTAGAAATTAACATGTAATTACTATGTTTCTTGGGTAAACCATATGCTAACCTTCTTATAAATGTGTAAATATCATTTTTTGAGAACATTGCGATAATTAATTATCAAGACAATATTTATGTAACTCCACATAAAAAAATCTGCCATTTTCTAAAAATCCTAAAAAAATGACCGTGTGCCCTGACGGCACTTATAAGTCCACTTGTAAACATCGGTCTAATACAAAGACAATTTGATTAAAATGTGTATAACTAGAAGTTAAACGCGTTTGCCTGACTATTGAAGATGCCAATAAAATATATTTGGGGTTGAAAACTTGAAAAATAAGGTAAAACAAAGGGAATTCAGGAACGAGTGTTACAAATGTACAGGAAAAGTGTGAATTACCGATATAGCAAGACATTGAAGTGGTGCCACACCAGAAATTTTCAAAAAACATTGATACCTCCGACTACCGGCGACTCAGGGGAGATAATACTATTAATTACTTCAATAATTTTAAAAATTCGTATTAAATTAAAAATAATACAGGCACTTAATTAAAGGAGTACTTATAAGTACCGTCAGTAGATAAAGGGTAAAAGTGAAAAATAAATTTAATTGATCCTATGAAATAAATTTTAAAAGTTAATTTTTCTAAAATCTTTTTTTTTTAATCTAAAGTGTCATATATATGTGAGATAATTCGATCCATATATTAGACAAGCGTATGTGTTAAAACAAACACCATACACTATTTATCAAGGTCAAACTTTTAAAACTAATTCATAAAAATACTAACACATTTAGGTTTTTGTACTTTTAAATTTACGATAATTATAAAAATATCAAATACTAAATCTTTTAAATCTTCTACTTGATAACATGTAACATGATTTTTCGGCATAAATAAATAAATAAATATATATATATATATATATATATATATACGAAATAATCTTATCTCTCTCTCTCTCTCTCTCTCTCTCTCTCTATATATATATATATATATATATATATATATATATATATATATATATAGAGAGAGAGAGAGAGAGAGAGAGAGAGAGAGAAACAGAGAGAGAAAAGATTATTTCGTTTAGAACAACTATACATTATAATGTTTGAAATATCAATTAAAATCAATCTTAATTCTATAGTGTATCTCTTTGATTACAATATTTCTCTTTAAAATAAACAGGCATTTGTAATCTGATGGAAAACCACCAAGTCTTGTTATTAAATCTCTCGTACAGCTGCTGTATGTAATTACAGAAACATGAAAAGAATAGCTGTCTTTTCATTTTTGTTAAGTTAATAATAAAAATTAATAATGGTCGTATCAGCATAATTTCTGTCTAAATTAGAATTGACAAAAAAATATAATTTGAGATTAGCTGATTCTCTTTTATACAAACTGCTATTTCGATAATTGCTAGGCTTGGTAGTATTATACGTTCTTCATACTAAGACGCTGTTAACTCAAATTATAGTGTGTGTAAATATTTGTCGATACATTTTAATGTTGACTTACGGTATCTACATAACCGTTATTTTCGTCTTTTAGATTAATAATAAATAATGTGCATGATTGTAGCAAAAATTATACTTGTATAGTATTTTTTTTTCATTGAATGTTTTACTAAATATTTTTTTAAAGGGGCAATTTCTGTAATACCTTTTTACAACTTAAAATAATTTTTATAAATTTATTTGCAAATAAAAGCCGGAATATATGTCAATTCGAGGTAAAAATACTCAAGACAACCTGCATTACTAACTTCTAAACGGAGCTTTCACACGTATAATTGTCAAAAATTAAAATACTTTTATAACGGAATAAAAAATACATGCTTAAAAATACTCTTTCAAAAGAGTAAACAAAAGCTATCATTTATTTACCTGTTTACTTAGAAATTTGAAGTGGCGTTTTAATGCTTTATCCAAATTTGAAACACGTGTAGCTTTTATGCATGTTAATATCTGCACAATCGGAAATATATTAAAAATAATAAGTAAAATAACTTTTTTTAACAAAATTAACCCTTATAATAATTTATGAAATAATTTTTTATTTTTTATTTAGTGTTTTAATAAACATGGAAAAGACTAACGCAACCTCCGGCTTAAATTCACTGACAGTTGTTGATGTTTCTGATGATGTCCAAAACATTGTCAATGTAAGTGTCAACTTTATTATGATCACAGTTCTAAATTTAGCTGGAGTTGTCGGGAATATCCTAACCATTGTTATAATTGTGCATAACGGATTAGGGGAAACAACCAGTATTAACTCAAACGCATTGGCTGTGTCGGATTTGTTCTTCTCCTTGACACAATTATGGCGGCAACTCGCAGAAATTTTTACAATACTTTAATTTAGAAGCAGGCTTCTACATAATTATATGTCGGTTTCGCTGTATATTTTTTTCGGATGGAACCAATAAGCCGTTTGTATCAGTGTTAAGATTGCAACTATAATAGAGAGAATGGTAGCCGTGGTTTTTCCTTTTGCTGCATCCAGATTTATAACACCGTTTCGAATTAAAGTTGTTATAGGTGGAGTTTTTCTGTTTTCAGCTGTATTGTATGTTCCCCAAGGTTTTATTAATGGTTATACGTGGAATATATCTATTTATAAGGCATATATATATATATATATATATATATGTATATATATATATATATATATATATATATATATATATATATATATATATATATATATATATATATATATATATTTGAGTTAGAGGGTTAACATCCAACGGGACGGAGAACGCTCCTGATTCGATTGGGTGATCAAATATAGCAACTCAATCTAGCTACGGCCTATCGTACTCTTTAAAACGATCTTAGGAGCCATAGTACTCACGGTTGAGCCCAAGGGGCGCCGGGGAACAGGATTCGATATAGTCAATGATTTTGAAATCAAAGAAAATGTATCACCCTTAACAGAAATTTAAAAATTATACACATTACGTCTCTATAGATATATTATGGATAAGATGAAATATTATAGGACCCCAGGCTATCATGTAAGCACCATGGCGCCTGTGTTATTTTTAGAGCAATCTACAATATAGACAAAATTGTACACAACATTCGATGATTAAACTAAGCCAGCGACCGTACGCGGCGCCCTTGCAGTTATGTAATTGGGGTCTTCCGATGGCGCCTTGCTACGCTTCAGACACCTAGACGGTCATCGAAGTATTACTGTGCATTCAAGGCTTTTTTTTACAATGCCTCTGTAAACACAATCCAAGAAATATAAGGAAGGCATTGTTTACATTTTAATAACTCGGTTTTAGAAAACAAGGTCACGCGTCTACGAATATAGGATTGGTTACGCATTGATGAAACCCTATTAAAATATTGCGTCACACTTTCTTGGAGACCGCGGTACCGCGAGGTCGGGAAACCTATTATTCAACAAAAGTATTTAACGTCGCTGTGATTTAAATTTCAATAGACTGTAAATTAAGCTTAAATCCTCCTACAACTAAAACAGGTTATACGTTGTGATTGTGTCGGTATCATAAATAAATGTCGTGTTTTTTTCAGCATTGATGTTTTTTACGCAAACACCATGGACGTTAACGGAAATCAAAGTGTGACAAATATACGCATTTCTCCAACTTGTGACATTTCATACGATGCACTTTTAATGGGAAATTTAATTATCAACTGCATCTTATCACATGTGTTTGCTGTATTTGGAATATTTGGAAATCTTGTTACAATAATTATTTTGTCGTACAATGGACTACATGAATCCACAAACATTATTTTAACAGGGCTGGCTGTGTCTGATTTGTTTTACTCAGTGACTAATATATGGAACCAGCTACCAGCTATCG